ATCAAGGAAGGCTTCCATGTTTTGCCCAGGGAAGTCCTCACAGAAACACTGGAAAGTCACGCCACGATTTTGCGCTCACGGAGAAAGAAAGGACACTCCATCCTGTCCAAGATGGTGATGCATCTTTCTCGGTACATTTGGGGGGAGCAATAAAGCAGCTTCTTACTGAACTAAACGTTTTTATTGATCGCCCTTGAGTCAGAGCCCACAGACTCCGCAAACCATAAGTGGCTACAGCACAGAGAATTGTCATTTCTAGGCAGCAGAGGAGATACGGGATTAGTCCAAGACACCTCGCCTTAAGCTTTCTCCCACAGTCCTTCCATCTCCGGGGTTCGGAATAAAGAACAGTGCAGCGGTTGGGTTTCCTGCAGGCCCTCGCAGCAGAGGGCTTGGGAGGAAGGGGAGGGAGCAGGAGGGTCTCTGCGCGCGCCCTCCCGCACCCGCGGAGCGACTGCGAGGCTCTGGCACACACCCCCCACGCAGCGTTCATGGCCTGTGCAACTCTAAGCAGCCGGGGTTCGAGGCCGAGAAAACAAATGACTGTTTTGCAGCATTCCCCATTAAACAATAAAGCGAGCTGTAAAGCCTCAGGTGCTGTGTTTGTTGTGCCGTCTGCGCCGCGCTGTGGGCCAGGGAGCGCCTCTTCGGCTGATTCCAGGGTAAGATAAGGAGCCGCCGAGCCACCAGCTCTGTCTAGACTCGCGACCTCACAAGTCAAGCGCCTTGTTTGGATTAGCCCTCCAGATCTGCCAACCTGATCAAGTCCTGAAAGAGAAGGGCCCAGCAACACCCTTTTTTCCTCTCCCGGACCACGACTGTCCCTTCTTCAAGGGATCAAGGGCTGACTCGCCTGAGCGAGTCGCGGGGCTGGTTAGACCAGTGTCCTGTCTCCTATTCCTAGCACCCACCCATACCAAACCTGAGTGCAGACAGGTGCTGCCCTGCCTGCTGGACTTAGGAAACGCACCAGAGGGGAGAACCACTAGGACGACGGGCAAAAATAAGTCACCCACGTAATCAATTCCACAAATAACATCACCCTGAAAGGAATAGGAACTTTAGATCAATAGAATGTTAAGAGGATCCCAAGTGTGGAGAGCGCTCAGCAGAATCTCCCACAGGGCTGTCGTAAAGGGCAGGTCAGTGCTTCTTTTCTTTCCACCTGGAGAAAAGTAATCTTACTCCCGCATCTTTCCCCCCAAATCTAGGCATTCCATTTTGGGGGGTGGGGGGAGTGGTTGTCTTTTTACAATGCTTTGCTTATCACTGCTGAGCACTTCTGTAGAGGGATCATCAAGCAGAAAGATTTGCAAAATACATTTTCAAAGAATAAAAAGAATCAAGTAGTCTTTAGTGTGGCTTTGGGAAGAAACCGGACTCTCCAAGGGACAGAAACTGGCTTCTCAGAGCCAACAACTTAAGCACCATAAAAATTAAAGGATGTGATAGTAACAATGCTCACAGCAAACACTCAGCAGGCTTCTCTCCCTCCCCTCCCCCTCCTTTGCTCCCTGTGAACCAACTTCTCTGTCTACACTTCAGAAGTCCCCGGGAGGTGTGGAGAGATCCTCCATCACGACTTGGGACATTGTAAGCTGTGAAGTTTATGTTTGTGGCGCCTGGGCTCAAACAGCCATTCAGTGGCTTGCTCAGTTATCAAGAAAACAACAATCAGAAAAGATCAGTAAACAAAATTGGCTGCTAGCACCCTGAATTAACTACTTGCATTTTAGTTTAAAAACACCAACTCACACTGTACAAGTTTATTGTTTTTATTTTACATAGTTACGGAGAATTCAAGATTTGGAGTCATATTCGAAGGTAACACTTTTTAAATAAAGGCACGAAAATAATCCCATCCTCCTTCCTCCCCGGCGCCCCCAAAGAAAATTTGAGTTGCCTTGTGATACGATCTTTAACTGATTAGCAGAGAGGAAGTAAATAATCCTTAATGAATAGAACTCAAGCATAATATCTATTAGAAATCTCCTTTACAAAGTTGACTAAACTGAACTTTACAAATAATAAAATATGTACTTTCTGCTTAGTTTACTTGCATTAGGGGTGAGATTAAAAACTCAAGCTGACTTGTTTCCATCCAAACATACCTCTTCTGGTGGTTTGGACTGAGTTTTAACTTTTTTTTTCTTTTTTCTTTTTTTTTCCCCCAAGAAAAAAGGAAAAGGCTAAGTAAATCCACATGGGACTTACAAAAGATAATTCAGTAAGAACGACCTTATGGCTTAAAAATTAAGGTGCTAGAGAAACGCAAAGTACTTCTAGGTACCTTAAAAGAACATGGTCTTTTTTGGCCGTTAGTCAAAAGAGTAAGATAGACCACAAAAGAGGTCCATAGGATGAGTTTAACAATCAGGCTAAATGGCAGAGCATTACAAAGTCATCTATTTAATTTTTAATTCCAAAAAAAGTGAATTGGTAAGTGAGTACGCACACCCACATAGAATCTCCAATAACCAGAAATGTAATTTCAATGAAGAAAAAATCTCTTTGAATATATGATTCCTAGAAAAGACTTTTTTAGTGGTAAGAAAAACCACCATTTGATG